AAAAAAAAAAAAAAAAAAAAAAATTGTCAATAAAAAAGAATTCCAAAAATTTTTTACCATGTTTTTTGTTCATCACAGTTCCCGTTCAATGTAAATAATGTTTAAAGAAAACAAAGAAGTCATGATTTTTTCTTTCAGACACAGAAAAAAAAAAAAAAAAGGAAAAAGGGAAATGAAAATGTGTTTGTCAACTATTAAATTAAGTCATTCATTTTTTATTCCGCTTTACTTTTCTTTTACTTGTTAAAAAAAAAGAGGAAGGAAGGCGAAAAAAAGAAGTTAAAAGCCTCATCATTCTGTTCCAATAAGTGCTGAAACTATTGCCATTGTTACTTCTGCTATTTCTGTCCCATTCTGTTCCGTCCTTCCCCTGTTCCTCATCTTGCCTTCTCCAGTTTCTTCTCCTCTGATAAGTACAACAAATAACATCTCTGGGACAGATGAAATGTAACCATAGCTAACAGACGGAATCAGACTTTTTTTTCACATAAACACACGAAAAAAAAAAAGGTTGCCCTATTTCAGCCATTAACCATTTTTACAGAAGAAAAATTATTGCCTATGTTTCCTTCCTTTACATCCATTTGTTTCAGTGGTTCCTTCTTCCTTTTTTTTTTCTTGCTCACTCTCTCTCGTTAAACCACTATACCAATTCTAATAATTTTTTATTTGATTTCCTTTAACAGCAAAAAAATAACTTTAAAGCCAAAAAAGAATACTGAAAAGTTGTTGGCCAAAAAATCAAAAAGAAAAAAAGTGAAAAGAAAAAAATCACTAATAAAATTTTTTAAAAAAATATTCGTTAATCAACAAAAGTAACGGTAAAATGTCGTATCCACAAACATTCTTAGCATCATTTCTTGATGTTGCCAAATTTACATAAGAATAAATAGATTCTTTAGAGCAAAATATCGGTATCACGCAGCAACAGCAGTTACGCCAAAGCTGTGTTTTAGCTGCAGTTCCTTAGAACAGTGTACTGCCCAAAAAACTGTCAAAAATTTTGCTGTAGCAAATCCAATTCTGTCACATTTTTTAACTTTATCCTTCTCCTTTCCTCCACCATTCTTCACTAATGGACACGTCAGAAATGTATTTGGTAACCGGTCAGTGATTTAATTTCTCTCTTCCATAAGCTTCCCGTTTTTACCAACCAGAAAAAGGTAAATTATTACGCGACAAAACTGAGAAAAATTTCAACAATCTTGTTCAGTTAATTTCTTTCTTTACAACAACAAAAACCCTTCGACTTTTTCCTACAAACCGTTTATAATGTATTACAGTTGTGTAAATGAATTGTTTCCCTTTTGTTTGTTCCATGTGGTTAACATAAGTGTTTAACCTGCTATAAGGAATAAAATGAAAGTGATCTCTAAATCACAAAATTTTTACTGATTCTGACTACAGCGGTTCCAAAAGGAAACA